ACATGGAGTGACATTAATTCCGACAAAAAAAACAATTGACTGTTATTTTTTGTCGTCTGTCCAATAATGTACACTTAATTACTCAAAATTTATTAAGTTAACCTATTTAACTTTCTAAATAAAAATATTGAAGCTTGAATATGCTGTGAACATTCTTGGACATTTGGACGTTTGGACGTTGGACATGATCCAAAAAAGTCTTGAACATAGTAGATGTGACAACACTGCCTGGAACTATGGAGCAATTTTTAACGTTTAATGGTTCCAATTATAAATGGTGAAACTAAATAACATTGGTTAAACTGGTGACTATCTAAAATCTGATTGGCTGTTATATTAAATTTCGCCAGTTTCACCAGTTTCACCAGCATCTATAGTTCCAGCCCCTACGCAATGCGGACCAATCCTCCACATTTTAATAACAAATTTATTTATTTAAAACAACTATTTCAACCTAGTATATATGTAATTCCTAGATAGTGATCCTGCACAGCACGTAGTGCTGGGGTGTTCGATGTACTATGTAAATCAAATCTATATGTGGTCCTATATGAAAATCAATTATCAAAAATTTTTCGTGTAACATACATGTAAATACTGCGGAAAAAGTTATTTCGACAAAAGTCTAAGTCTTTTTATTGGCTTTTTTTTGTTATGAAAACAGCTCTTTATTACATTAAAATATACTACTCAACTTCCATGTGAAATTCTAAACAGAAGATCCAAATTGAAATATATAACAATCGGCATATTTCAAATTGTATCTCCTCGATAGTCTACATAATAATCTATTTAGAAATTTCGCTTGAGAGTTCAGTGAATGGTGTATTTTAATGTAATTTTTCATAAACTAAAAAATAACGAATTATCACATTCACGTTAATAATAAAAATACTGCAGAAATAGCTAAAAATTTAAGTCTTGATTAGTTTTTTGGATATGAAAAAATCTCTACATTTCATTAAAATACACCATTCACTGAACTCTCACGCAAAATTTCTAAATAGATTAATATGTAGACTATCGAGGAGATACAATTTGAAATATGCCGATTTCTTATATATTTCTTCTCGATATTCTACATAATAATCTGTTTAGAAATTTCACATGGAAGTTCAGTGAGTAGTATATTTTAATGTAATAAAGAGCTGTTTTCATAACAAAAAAAACCAATAAAAAGACTTAGACTTTTGTCGAAATAACTTTTTCCGCAGTATTTTACATGTATGTTACACGAAAAATTTTACAAAAAATTCGGGAGAAACGTTTTGGCTAGTTCGCAAAAATAGTTTGTGATAAAATGTTATGAACGATTTTTCTCGATTTTGATTTGTTGCATCCTTTACTGAATTTTGATTGGGCAGTAAAATTTTTAACGGTTAAAGTATCATTTTCCTATAGTAATAGTACTCTATAGTTATACGTAGAATATTCTCAATATGCATCAAGTTAGTCATGGGCAATACGATATATTCTATTCTTAGTTAAGACATTTTTTATCCAATCAAATAATTAAGAACGGACGCACTCGTGACGGCTGGTTATCTATCTATATCCATACTATTTCGACAGTGTAACAGTAACGGTAACAGTTTTTTTGCCTATTTTCCGTATTTGTCATTGTGGTACTGCGAAAGTTTCCTCTGTCATACCTTATATACAAATAATTCATCAATACACACACATATTTGTTTGTGCATGTGGCTATATATTATCGAGGATAATATATTCTGATTCCCAGCAAGTGAATACATGTTGATTTTAGTAGGTGAGAAGTTTGTAATTTGTGATTTTAATAGTGGGCAGGCTCGTGATTTCAATAATGGGTAGGTTAGTAATTCAACAGTGCGCGATTAAGTGATTCCGAGGGTTCACAATTTCTATAGTGTGTAAGTTCACGATTTTAGTAATGAGTAGGTGGGCTCGTGATTTCAAAAGTGGGCAGATAAATGATTTAACAGTGAGTGATTAGTGATTTATGACAGTGACTGTTAATGATTTAGTAGTGGGTAGTTCATGACTTTAGAAGTGAGTGGGTACCGATTTAGTAGTGGGTGAGTTAATATTTTACGACGATGGACGGTTAATGATTTAGTAGTAAATAGTTTGTGATTTCAACAGTGAGTGGGTGCTGGCTTAGTAGTGGGTGGGTTAATAATTTCAACAGTGGATGGATTAGTTATGTTAACAGTAAATATGTTAGTGCTTTCCAAAGTGGATGTGTTAGTGATCTTAAAAGCGAGTTAGTGATCTTAAAAGTGAGTAAGTGATTTCAGTATTGGGCAATTCGCGGTTTTACAATAGATCAGTCGGTACTTTTAACATTGGTGGGTTAGTGATTTTAATAGTGAGTAATTCATACTTTCAACAATGGTGAATTCATAATTAAAAGTGGTTAGATTCGTAATTTTAACAGAGGGCTTCATGATTTCAGTGGTAGGTGGATTCACGATTTTAGTAGTGAAGGATTTTAGTAATATAAATTCGTGATTTCAGAACGACATCAACAGTAGGTGTTCATAATTTCAGCCGTGCAAATTCGTGGCTTTGACGTGCGTGATATGGTAGTCCATGATTTAATAGTAGTAGGTTCGTGAATTCAACAGTGAATACTTTTGTGATTTAATAGTGAGTTTTTCATGATTTTAAGCTCATGATTGTTAATAGCGGATTAATTCACGATTTCATTAGTGAGAGGGTTTGTGATTTTAAACACGGAGTTAATTTTATGTTTTATTTTAACATTTAAAATAGATATAAAGATTTAATGATATTTGTCTGTCTACTTGTCAAAATCTTGACAATTTGATAAATCTAAAATCAATTAAAAAAAAAATTTGTTCCATGCCTCTGATACGGGTTATATACTTGATTAAATTAATAATCGATCCATTTAATCTAATTTATCTTTAATTTTAAACTGAACTCGATCTTTAAGAGAATATCATTCATAAAATACCCATTACAAGTTTTAAATTTCTTGAATAATTGAAAGTTTTAATATTAAATTATTAAATGCAGGCATATTCGCCTAGTTTTTGATATTATTTATCGAAATGAGATATATGGTTCCAAATTAGGTAGAAACCCTGATTCCCAAGCTCAAACTAGGGTAGTAATAGCATGTCGATAAAAAAAATTTTAGTATACTCAGATATTGTATAAAATATATGGTGCTGGTAGTCTATACTAAACATGTTTAATTTTTTAAATTATCATAAATTCTATACAAGAGGTTTTTTCAAAAAACTGACTAGTAACTTTATAGTGCAAGATTAGCTCTATAAGTTTGCCAAAGTTCTTTTTTTGAAAAAACTTTTGTATAAAAAGTTGATGCGTTTTTAAAGATTATTAATGTTTTATATATGGGCTAGGTGCTGAGAAAAGGGGCAAAATTGACAATTTTTTCAAAAAATGTTTTTTTTTTTTTTTTGCATAAATCAATTTAGAACAAGATTAAGATCATTTTTTACTTATGAAACAAAAGTATTTGTATTAATAAAATTTTTGCAGTATAGCTCTTAAAGTTTGCATTTTCTTATAATTTATTATACATAAAAATAGATCTTTTTTTTGTCAATTTCGTCCCTTTTCTCAGCACCTAGCCCATATAATTACTGTGTTTTAATTTTAAATGAACTTTAAAAATGCTAAAACTTTTTACTGAAGCGAACTTTAAAATTTTGACCAAACTTTATTCTTCATAATAAATCAAAATCTCCAAGTAGCTTTTAAAAATATTGCTTCAAAAAAAGTCGGTGCATTTCAAAGTTATACTATTTTTATTGTCTAGCACAGACTTCCTGCGCCATACAAATAATATTGCTTCGTAACATACCGGTATAAATCAATGAGGTACTCTATGTGCCAAAATACGGCATGCAAACACATACATTTTACATAAATTTTATTTGTCAAGTCAAACTAGAGGCAATTTTTAGCCCAGACTTCGATCTTTTTCTCTATTAAACAAAGAAAACCATATTAAAACATTAATAAAATAATTTAATATTTAATAAAATAATTTAATATTAATTTAATGAAACATTTGTTACCTTCAATGAATCATAACTAAGTTGGTATTCTAAAATAATTGGCAACATATCCCAAATTGAAAATTCCGGCCAAAAACAATTAACAAAGTGAATATAACAATTTTTATGACACTAGATAATAAGAAATATCAATTATAAATAATATTTTGTCAAATTGTTGTTTAAAATAATCTTGAACAAACCTGCCACAATAGAAAATCACTTAATCTAATTTCACCTGAAGTTCGAATAAGAATGTCTAACGGAGGGCTTCCGTGAGTATATAAATATTCTTCTAGTATTTCCTCATTAATATCTCTAAAAAAAGTTAAGGTTTATTTTGATTCATTATTAAATATTATACAACGTAAATAAGCAATAAACACACTTGATCTGTATATGGTCATTTTCAACTGATTTTATGACAGATTTTACAGAGGATGTGATTTCATCTCTAGAAGTATAGGGGACACATATGTTTAATAATGGTCTAAAGAAAGAAAAGAAGAAATGTTAAAACTCGACTCTTTATTTAAGACAACAAAATAGTGTAATATAATTAAAATGATTAAAATTACCCTGAATTATGCTTAGTAGTATCAATAGCTTTTTTTGCAGCTTCTTGAACATCAGCTGGAAGGAGTGCAATATTTCCTAGCACCTTCACACATACGTTGTATTTATTGACTAATTGACTGTTCATTAAAAAAAAAAATCATTTAGGTGAAATAAAATTTGTTAGCAATGTTATAACAAAATACCTTTTTTCACATAGCTCTGCCAACTTTGTTTTGGCAAGTTCCATAAGTGTATCAACCTCTTCCTTTGGACGTTTAAAATTCTCAATGCTAAATGCATATATAGTAACTGCTTTGACTCCAAAGCGTAAACAAATGTCCAATACCTATCCGTTGATCAAACTTTAAGTAATAATTATAATATTTATGAACGCAATGTCATAAAAAGGCTATTTTTGTAGACAATAACCTCCTGGAGTTTATCATATCCCATAAAATGACCTTCAAAAACCTGTTTATAGTTCATCTTTCTTGCAAATCTACGGTTTCCATCCATGATAAAACCTAAATGTTGAGGAATCGGACCTTGTTTAAGGATTTTAATTAATAAGGATTGAACATGGTTGCTTACGTAACCAATAGGAGAAGTAAAAAAACTCGGAGCAGCTTTTAATGACGGAGTTTCGTTGGGAATAGTATCTGAAAAGTCGGAAGAAAGCATTGCAAATTAGTTTATGAAAATAAGTTATGCAAAATTGCAGGCATTTTATAATCCTACTGTAATACGTATATAGTTAGTATTATTTTCGTACGTACATACGCATGTGGATGATCCGTACAATTATCATCACGTTGGATCATCATCCCGAAGGGATGCCCCGAATTTTCGGCAATTATGTGAATTTTGTAATTATTTAATTGGTTGTGCTTAAGAATGAATTTAGCAAAATAAATATTCAACTTTTGCAGATTACATTTATTACATTTGAATAGTTTGATTTTAGGCCATGCAAATTTGATTTTTCGTTTTGCATTACCCGCCGACCCAAATTTTTCAAAATCCCTATTTTTTTTTTTTTTTTTTTTGAGTTT